CAGCAGGTGAGGGCAAACAGGAACAAGTAGAAGTAGAAGAATCAAAACAGGCGGCTATGGAATGGTGGTCCAATTGCGACCCGGAGTTCATTGCAAACTCGTTGATGAATGATGAGAATTGCCCCTACTGCTTGGAAGATGAGATATCCAGAGTGAAAAAATTTGAGCATTTTGCTGAGTATTTTCACTTTCTGAAAAAAGAAGAGTTTGTGGATGATGATTACAGCTACGGAGATCCAGAAGGCGACCCGGTAGAGGACCTGGTGCACTTTCTTCGCTGGTTCCAGAAATCCCCACATTCCAAGATCAATACTGAGACAGTGACAAAGAGGCTTGATCAGAAAGAAGCGGCATGTGCCAGCAGCCTGGCATGCAACATGATGCTGTTCCAAACACATTGACTTGCCCTTTTGACTTGCCCTTTTGCTTCTTTCTGCTCGTTCACTGCTTGGTGAGGTATGGGCGTTGGTGCTGATGATGGCCAGGTTGATGAGATTTCCGAACCTGGTGATGTTTATGATGCTCGCATTCCAGTAGCAGAGGCTGAAGAATTGGTCCGGAGGGCCGTCGATGCTTATCCAGATCCAGAAGACGTGATGGGATCAGCTGCTGAGGTGTCGGGCGGTATCAGTGTCGGTGTCCAAAACCAAAACCAAGGCTAACAAAAAGAACGAAAACAAAACAAACGACTAAGCTTAACAGAGGTTGCTGTTGTCCTAAGACTTAAGATTCAGATGCACTGCGCAAACACTCAAATTTGTTGCTGTTGTCGTTTGTTTGGAGGTTATGGTATCCCGTCTCTTGCTGTTCCATTCCAAGAACACTGATGGTCATTTGAATATCTATGAGAACCTGAAGAGCCACCCCACAGAGCTACTCACCGGTTCAGGGTGTTCTGGCACTGCTTCGCCACTTGTCTTCTACTTTTTGTGTTTTGAGTTTTTATTCATCAACTCATCAATGAACCATTCCAGAGTCATAGAGTCATAGACTCATAGACTAGAGTCATAGAGTCAGAGTCATAGTCTTAGTCATAGAGACCTGATGATGATTCTGAATATTGAATGTGGAAACATTTTCATTTTCTATTTGGTCAGGTTTGAGGATGCGATGCGCTGTGCAGTGCAAGGTCTCAAGCCGGCCTTCAATCTCGACATGACAGCAGCCTGACTTGGTACAGCGGACAAAGTGAAAATGAGAACGACGATTGAATTGATGTTGTGTTATAAAATGTTTTGTATATTGTTATATAATAGTTTTATTAATATATACCACTACTTATATGAATGAATCGATTCTAGAATCTTGACTTAGCAAAAGATAGCAAAAACATATTCAGCTTTACCTTAGGTCGAAGCGGCGTATGCCTGTGAGAACGTGGAGTGGAAGCAGGCTTTCTGCAAGCATGCTTTGAATGCCAGCAGCTGCATGTTTGAGGACAGAACCTGTGGCTGTACTTCCTCAGTGTCTGGTTTTTAAAATTAACATGGCAGGACATTACAGCCCTGTCATCTGACGAGAAGAGGCACTGTGTGACACACGGTCGAGCATGTCACCTTGAACGGGTCCATGCCTTTTCTGCGGGTTTCTCGTGCACAAGCTACAGCCGACTAAACATGCACTCCAAAAAGAATGCTAGCGCAATGCAGCGTGCAAAAGAACAGCAGAATCAGAATGAGGAATCAGTTTCTTTTCCGCACTTATAGAAGACAAACCAATAGCCGCCACTTGACAATTAATATATTTTTTAATAGATGCCAAAGGCTATAGGCAATAGGCTATAGGCGCAAAAAAGGCGAGGCAACAAATGAGGTTCATGAACTAAGTGGCCGTCGTTTTGCCCGAGGAAACAGTGGCCAGCGTAAGCACCTTCAACGGGTGCTTGGATGTGATGGAACTCAATCGCCCACATTGGGTTGTGTTGGAAAATGTTGAGTCGATCGAGAGGGAAACCGATGACTCCTCGTGCTCTGTCTGTATTTAGGATGTGACCGACTCATACCGTGATAGAGAGTGAGAGGAGTCACACAGCGTCATGTGTTGCTTGCGCGGCCTTTCTTGCAAAATGTAACTCTTGTTGTCACCTTGAGGGAATCCAACCTGAAGCTTTGTATCGATGAGATTGAGAAGCGCGGATACGCTGTGGAGTGTATTTTGCTAGATGCAGAGTGGTTCGGGTTGCCCCAGAGCCGCCGGCGTGTCTACTTTGTTTGCTTGGATTTGCGAAACCAAGACATCGCTGTGAGTGCGGCAAGCTTCTTTGAAGATGTGAAAACGCTGATTCGCCAGATGTACTTGGAAGCACCAGCTTTTGTTTCTCGACTCATTTTGATAGTCTAGGCTCTTGGGCCCTCCTTTCAACCTTCCCAACCTCCGACAATGAAGACCAACTTCAGTTTTTTTTTTAAGAGTCAGTTAGTATGTCAACTGTTGCTGAGGAGAACTTTCTGTTGCCAGATGATGACCCAGCCTTAGCAGAACACTTTGAGTTTCTCTCCGACAGAGACGATGTAGCGGACTCTGACGGTGGATGGACATCTTTGCATATGTCGGTTGCAGAGAAAAGATTCTTTGAACTGAATTCATATGATATGATATGATTCATATTCCGATTCATATCATATCATTATATGTTTTTTTTGTGATCCAATTGTGTTCATCATCATGTTGGACCCAAACACTTGTCTGGGATTCCTGGGCTTACTTTGCTGCAGGAGGCATCCCATGGCCGCTCCAAATTCCAAAGGCAGTGCAAGCATCCAAATGGTTCCCGCTCTTGACGAAGAGGGCTCGGGAGGTTCAATACTCAATGAAGAAGGGTATGCAGCGGTATGCAATATGCATTTTCATGTAGTCGTACAGTCTACAAATACATACAGTGACATACAACGACAGCAGTTACATACGCATCACATTTGCTAGGCTATGACTCTACGATGAATCTATTGTCATTGTCTAGAAATGAGTCCAGTCTATGATTCATCTATGAAATTATGATTATGAATTATGATTCTGATTCTTCAGGTGGTGGGATTTGCTGCCGATGACAAGTACAGAATGAAGAAGAAGGTGTCCGTTGCGGATGTGTACCACTCCGCAAACCGTTACTCAACAGGAACCCGTTCATTGCCGGTGATCCTTCCAAGGAGCATAGCCTGGTCCTTTGCAAAGCAAAGGCCACTCTTGGGAAGGGAGCTGTTGAGATGCCAGGGACATTCATATGATCATGACTTTCTGTCCAGCTTCACGGAATCCCAGCTTGGGAATTTGGCTGGCAACGCGCAACTTTGTCAAAACATTAATGGATGTATGGTGTGGTCTGCAAGTAAGACAAGATTCCTGCATGTCAGCGTCATAGTTGTGGATCTATTTATACTTTTCTATGCCACGAATGAGTTTCAAATGTTTGTGTCTTTAAAAGGTTTGCAGGAATCATCCAAGGTTTGCGGGAAACGTGATTGTTGCAGTGGTGCTGGCGGTGATGTGCAGCCTGCGATACAGCAGCGAGTCAGAGATGTCTGAAGCAGAGGATATTAGACAAATGGTCCAGTCTCTCACAGAGGACCTTCCTTCACGGCCCTAAGAGTTTTTTCATGCCTGCACAGAGGGCGTGGCTCAGAGGCCTCACGAGTACAGAAGATGAATTCTGCTGGTGTCATGTGTGAATACACGTGCCTTGCGACAGCAGCCCTGTCCGAAAGGAAAACAAATTCTCAGAGTGCTGGTTCATGCTTGTGGGTGTGTGGGCCAGCGCATTCATACGTACACTGACACGCCCGTCCACGATCGTTCGTGCGTTCACTGGCCTGCACGCACGCGCGTTCACACGCGCGCTGACACGCGCGCTGACACGCGCGCTGACACGCGCGCACGTTCACTCATATGTTCGCTTCATATGTCCGTTGACCCGCTTGGATTACAGAGGCCATAAGTCAGATATGCTTTAAACCCTGCTAAAGTATGAATGTTCATTTGCTTTCTGAACAGCTGGTGGCAGTGACTCAGAAGCTAGATGAGCTGTGGAAGTTAGATAACCTGCTGCTGCTGCTGCGGCTACTACTACTACTACTACTACTACCACTACCACTACCACTACCACTACCACTACCACTACCACTACCACTACTACTACTACTACTACTATACTGCTACTACTGCTACTACTACTACTACTATTCCTGCTCCTGCTTTGGGGGTGGCTTTGCCACAAAACTCTACCCCGCAAAAGGCGAAAGTTTGGCGAAAGTTCAGCTCAAGATTGGCGAAAGTTCACCCTGCCACATCTGACCCCCAGCCCATTATGAGTAAGTTTGAGTGACCGGCTACTACAGTGATTCTTGCAATTTTGATTCTTGCTGACACCCAGGAGAAACAAAAGAGACGTACAGGGTGTCAACAGTTAAGTAGAAGACACATGCTGACAAACAGTGAAGTTTCTATTTTGTGCTTGCCAGTAAAGAAGAAGCCATTGACGTGAACAAACCACAACATACATGGCACACCTAAATACAACGTACTTCGGCGAAAGATAAAACGCAGGAAGGCGAACGTTTGGCGAAAATAAGTTTTTTTGGCGAAAATGACGGATCCCGGATAAAGGAATTTAGATCAACTCCCACATGGCTAAATAGCGCCGGTGGCCTGTTTGCTTGTCCTGAGAATCTGCTGTACAACAAGCCCACAGAAAGAAGCATGCGTCGCACATAAGCAAGCACTGCTTATGTATGTACATATATGTATAGTACGAGACATCCCTACATTGTCAAGGAGAGTACACGCTTCAATTTCTACAACACACACACACATGAAAGACTCGCGTCAACAAACGCAGAATGGGTCACACAGACAAATACCAACGGGTCAGCAGGGTCTCTGAGGGAGGGCAAACTTATTTATTTATTTTTTTTGTTCTACCTGTTGCTTCTGTGGCTTTGGGCATTTGGTGTGGCTTTTACCAGATCCGTGCGTTCCCCACCGTGCCACCGGCCCTTTTGTTCGAGGTACCGTGGCTACGACTCGGCGGGGATCGGTGTCCATGGTGTACCCATCAAAGTGCGGAAGAAGGTGGGCAAGGCGCGGGCCTCGGACGGTGACTTCCGCCGATCGGCTGCGAAGTCTCGGGGTGGGTTCGAGACTTTGCAGTTGGCACAGGAGGCGTAGAGTGGGTGATTTTCTGGACTTGGTCAACGTGCGATCGTGATGACTGCAGCTCGAAGAATTGTATGTTCATTCGGTCTCTCATCATGCATGAGATATTTGAAGGTTACAGGTTATGGAAGTTATTTGTCTTGATTGTCCGGGTGATGAAAACAGACCTGTCGCCTTTTTGGAAGATTTCTGGTGCACCAAGACTTCGTGGGATGACCCTGGTTAGACACACGTCTCTGAAAGAAAGCATGATGTCTCATGAGTGTCATGATGTCTCATGTCATGCAGTTTTGGAGCTCGCGGCTGACATTTGTAGTTCGCTTGTAGCGGCCTTCTTTGGAGATGGACGGGAAGACTTGGTCTCCTGAAGTCGAAGACATTGAGGCGATGGTCACGGAAGTCTCGAAGACATCGCAAAGCGCCGATGTCGCAGAGATTGCACTGGAAAAACATCGTTCCTCTAGCAAGTCCATGAACCTCATGGTCGCGGCGACCAAAAGCATTGAACAGAAGCTTGAGAAGCGTCAAGAGATGGTGAGGAGCAGCCAACATGAGTGGTGGACCTACAAATTTGCTCACATGACTGCATGGGTCGTTCAGATTCTATTCTCCCTTGCCTCGCTCTTGTTGCTAGTTCTCTGGATTCGACATGTTCATCCTGAGGCCTATGTCGTGACCTTTTTCGTGATGGTGATTGCAGCTTTGGCCTATTTGGCCAAGGTGACAGGCATGGGTGACGCGGTAATCGGAGGCAGAAAGGTACCAATTATCAGGTACATTGATTGGATTGCCACTACTCCATTGATGCTTTTCGAGCTCTGCATGATTGGTGGAGCAGAGAAGCATACCTTCTTCATGGTCATTGGCTACTTGGAGCATTTTGGAAGGTTGTTGTTTTCCCCAAATGGAATACAAGATGGATAGATGTGGATAGTTTCCTTTTGTGTGGCAGAAGGGGCCTTTTGTTTCTGTATCACAAAACCTAGGCTGCGACCTGATGATGCTGACGGGAGGCATTGTGAGTGCCATGATTGTGCCGAAAAAGAAGGTGGCCTTGAAGTATCTTTGGTTCGGCTCATCGGTTCTCTTCTTCTGCCTCATGATCGCAGCTTTGCAGGTGGATGTGGCCAACGGTACCGTGAAGAAGCGTCCTCCAGATGTGCAGCAGCTCTTTAAAAGGCTCGAGTGGCTGACGATCATTTCATGGACCGGCTATCCTATTGTAGTGCTTTTGGGTCGTGCTCATGCAGGTCTCATCTCCAAAGGAATGGAAGATGCATTGCTTTGCATGCTTGACTGCATCTCCAAAATTGGCATGGAAGGCTTTGTGGTTGCAACTTGCTCAATGGAAGGAGCTCAGTGCCATGTCAAAGACAAATAATGGCGCTTTGGTGCGAAGCAATTTAAAGCCAGAGCCCGGGTGAGGACCCTCCCCGCTACCCCGTTCTTTTTTTGTTTACAACTGGCTGATTTTCTGAAGACCTGAAATAGGTCGATTTTCGAAGGGCAGTTGTGGGTCTCGTGCACAACGGATTCCTTTATCCAGGACTTCTCTGCTGGGCAGCAAAGCTGTCATCGCAGCATAAAGACCCTATGCCAGCGGAAGCACACAGAGATAAGAAGAGCCTGCCTGCCCTTCATCATCCCATGTGGTTTGGCTCTGTCACCTCAAATTGAGTGGTTTCACCGGATGGTGAGGCCAGGGCGACTGTGTTCAGGTGGCAAACCTGGAAGACGATGTGTCCAAAGCGATTGACACGGTGAAAGGCACCATGGGCATTGCGCGTGGTGCCCCAGGCGCAGCAAACAACTTGACAATATCCTTTTGAGTGGGACAAAGAAGGCTTCAAGACGCAGGTTCCAAAGGACTCACCGAGATGAATTCGTTGCATTGTTGAAGTCGCAGCGGTCTTCGTTTGGGTGTGACCAGACCGGGGGGCATAGCTTGTTCCAACTTCTTTCCAATGCAAGTAGCAGCCTGCTTGACAAGTCCCGGCAGTGACGCACTGTTACTTTGCACTAGGTAGAAAAGTGAATCCTCTGACTCTGACTGATGGAATAGGTATTGGAAGCCACTTCTACATGTCTATTTCTTGATCTATGCACATAGTTCTTGTGCAGTCTGCCCAGTTTTAGCAGTGAATATCACTGAATAGATTTAACCACAGATTTCTTTTGATCAGTTTCTTGAGCCAATCGGATGGATGGCGTTCTGGAACTTTGTGTACATAGCTGGTTTTGGCTAACTCTCTCCCCATGCCAAGTCAGATGTTACCCAACTCACTGTGGAATCCAATTTATAAGTCCACAGGTCCACAAGCAGTCCAATGACGGAGTCCTCGACTTTTGCACCTCCACCTTGAGTCCTCCAACTCTGGACTGATTTTTCCAAGGCACACGAGATGGGCCACCCATGGAAAGCCCTCAGATATCAACGCGCACCCTCATGCAACGACGCAGTCGAGCCGCTTCTTTCGCAGTCGAGCCCAAGGGGATGGATGGAACGGGTTTAAAGTTTAAGGCCTCGATGAGAAAAAAAATCGCAGGTCTACTGGATTTCTACCGATCCATATACCACTGGGGCAGTCCTCCAATTTCAGCTTTAGAAGTACGAAGCTACTACTGGGATTCTCCTGCTACCACTTGAGACCTTGGAGAAACCGCTGGCACAGGTTGAAGATGCTGAACAAAGGAGGGGATTCAATATTCTCAAGTTAAGGGTGGCTTTTTGGAAAAAAGAGGAGGTGGGTCGAGTCTGCAGCCACCCCTCATCTTGGACCAATGGATCCATGTGGGTCCTTGGGGGGGGGACCCGAGTTCGAGGAGGCCCATGAAGCTTGGACGAACGGAGGTACGAAGCAACCACAGCCGCACGGATGCCTCCTCAAATCCATTTTAACGTCAAGGTTAGAATTCAAGGTCTTTCCCAGCAACCGGAAATCTATCCACAGGCAATGGCCTCCAACCTAATAGCGATGGCCTCCACCTAAGGACCCAGTAGCGATATGTAACGATGGCCTCCACCTAGTAGCGATGGCCTCCACCTACATGCATGGAGGTTTAGTAGCTTCTTGCTCCTAGTAGTAAGGCCAGGAGCCCCTAATAGCGTCCTTGCTCCTAGTAGCGACCAGGAGCGCCGTTCGTAGCGTCCGATCGCTCCTAGCGCCTTTGTTGATGGGTGATTTGGACCGCAATCTCCAACCATACAGACTGAGCGACTGAGCCCTCTGCGCGGTGTGTGCGGGTTTGCGCCGGTCCGCGCGAGCTGCTCGGATGAGGCATTGCAGTGGTGCACAACGGAGTCATTGAGAACCACCGAGCGCTCAAAGAGCAGTGGGACCTCCCAGTTTTTTCGACGTTTCGTTTGTTTCTCGCAGAACCAGAGTGGAGGCTGCCCCGAATGGTTGGCTCACAAACAACATTCCATCCTGGTACTGTAATTAGATGTGATGTAAACTAGTAACTCATCCTCAGGAGGCAAGTGACCTGCGTTTGGATTCTGCACTCTGAAGAGCCCCTGACAGTCAGCTCTCAAAGCACCGGTGGCTTTTCCCGGCTCGGGGTAAACGCCAAGACAGCTTTTGGTCCTTTGTTGCACGAGCAACCAGGGCATCGCTACGAACGTAACCAGGTGCATCGCTTTGAGTCGGCCCCCCCCCGCCCTGTAGAACAATCCACCTCACCCCCACCCAGACCTCCTTGCCATCGCTACGAACGTAGCAAGACCGACCGTACCGGAATTCACCCACGACGTACCCTCGACGTGACACGGCCAGTTTGGGACCGTGTCACTCGTTTGATATGTTTTTTTTGCTTTCAGTTTTCACCTGTTTTTAACCAGAGCTGAATGAAAAGACGATCTCACTTGTCGAGCTGAAGTTCGATCGATGTCCGTTCGATGAAGATGAGATCGAAGGAGCTTGGCTCCGTTCGATCGTAGATGATGTTAATGTTGCTTTGCTTGATCCGCTTTGAACAGGGGAGTCACCTACTGGAGAAACATGGCGAACTGACCCGTGAGGCGCAACATGTCCTCTGGGAACCTCTAAGGAGATGCAGAGAACTGCACAGTGACGGTCCCATGCTTTCCAACAGAACCTGTTGTGATCGACAAACCCAACTGGTTCAATTTCAGAATTTCCTCTATTGAAATGAGGAATGCACCACTGAACACCCCTTCCTTCCACCGGCTCCATGGCTGCACTCAGTAAGTCGGCTTGGCCCCTTTTCTGTTCATACACCCAGCCTTTTGGGCAGAAAGGTGAGTAACATGTTGGAACGAATCTTGATGCGCCAGGCCTTTCCTTCTGCAAGGAGCCCGAAAGAGATGTCACTTCATCATACTTCTATATGTTCTCCCCGTCTCCCTGCTGGACTCTCGTCATCCTGGCCTTTCCGGATTGTTTGGATCTGTTTAGATTGATCAGAACCGACCCTGGATGTGGATGGGGGATCGTGTGTGCTGGAACACCACGCTAGGCTGTCGGGCAAGGGCTACCAGTTCATCAGCCAGACAGATACTGAACTCCTGGCTCACCTCGTCGAGGCGAGGCTGGATCTTTCAGGTTGGTTTTGGATGGGGGATGATGGGTGGACACTTCGCAGGCCGGGATCTGTGATTTGGTTTGCTCATGTTTGCTCAATGCTCTCTTTTTCAGGCTTGAGTTTGGGTGGACACTTGTTCACTTATCCAAGTTTCAGCCGCATGCAGTGTCTCATTGAGTGCACGCAGAAGACCATATTTAATATATTATGAGTTTTGCACGCAGAAGACCATATTAAATATATTATGAGTATTGTGGCGGAAAGTCGTTATTATAGTGATTACAGTGTTACCGGACCCACAACCTTATTACAAGTATGAGTCATGAGAGAGATGCTACAGCCAAAGTTTCAAGCTGGCAACTCGGTCTACTTTTCATTGCCAGCTTAACGCAACCCGCTATTTTCTTTTCCTGCCTGCCAGTCGGGCCAGCCGGCGGGCCAAAAACCACAGCTGAGCCTGTAGCTTCACAGCCAGCCAGCCAGCCGGCCGGCCCCTACCTTTCGTGTGACTACCAGCTGATAATTACCATGAATTACCACTACTACAGCCGGCCGGCCGGCCGACAAGAGACACGTTGACCTGGTCGGCCGGCTCCCGGACTTACCGGTTCGCCACGTCCTAGTTTTGCAGCTCCGCCCCAGGCTCAAGAGAGTTGGCCCTAGGAAGCTTTTTCACCGGGGAGCGGGGGAAGGCGAGCCAGCCTATAAATCCATCAAAGTGTTCCAACAGTTAGGCCTGCTAGTCCCACAACAAATCCCAGGGTGATGACACCTCTCATGATTTTGGCTCTCCCCAAAGGTCTTCAACTCGATTTGTTGTTGCCTTTCTTCTCAGTTGTCCAAACATCCGGCGCCAGGACCTCAAAGGGCAGATGGGGAATGCCAGTTGGCTCGAGGCCGACACGGTGGTCAGACAGGGGGTCCCCGAGACAGCTCGGGGTCCCACAGGGAGTTGAGACCCGAAGAGCATGTCACACAGCCAAGATTTGGGGGTCTTGCTGTACTACCACTGCAGGCATCCCGGAATCGGATGTACTTGTGGCAGATACCTTGGCTTCTTCGCTTTTTTAAAGGGGCTTTCAGCACCAGGACCGCCTTCCACCAAACTCCCAGTGGGTCCAGCCAGTCAACAGACTGGAGAGATGAGCCAAGGAAGACAGTTGGCCTGAAACAGAACAAATGACCAACTTGAGGTAGAGACTGTGAGACTTTACTTGGAGTTGTTTTTAAAGCTTGAGGTAGAGATTTCACAAAAAGCTCCCTTGTTTGTGGAATGCCCAGACAAGATCAGATTCGCCATCCCCATTCCCCCTTTCCGTCCCATACGAGACTCCACCTTTCGTTCCTTTCCAGAGAGCTTCGTGCCATCAGGGTGACTGAGGGCATGAAAGCGTGGCGGTGGTCGGGCAGATTCAGCCCAGATCGTGCCTCAGGTGGTCGCTACAGCACTGTGCCTCTGCGAAGGGGCTTATGGCGTTGCATTCATTTTCCAGGACCACTGGGGTTTCCGTGTTCAGTCGTGAGGCTGACAGTGGAAGTCTCACGGAACCAGAAGCGTCAGATGAGAGGAGGTGCATTCGGCTTACAGGCGCCCCGAAGGTGGTTTCTCGGATGCAACCGGTTGTCTTGAAGAAACCACCGAATGACACTTGTGACACCCAAATGATTGAGTCAAGCTGCTTCGGCTTACAAGAGCACCTTCTCGCCTTGAAACGCGTAGTGCACAATCATGCACAATCCATGTTGTTTGGTCAACAATTGACGGAGTGACGGACGGATCCACTCGAAGAGTGGAAGGCTCGCAAGACGCAGTTCTTCAGACGTCCTTGCTCAAGCCAGCGCTTCCTAGGGTCAGCAAGATGAACGGAGGAAGAACGCGTATGTCGTTGGTTTCTTGACCCATTGTAGCATGCAAGCAACCTTACAATACAAGAATACACTTATTACATATTTATCATGATGTCGTTTTTGATCTTTTTTTCTTTAGGATGTGAAATCATTATATATATATACATATATATATATATGCATACACATAACTTAACACACATACACATATATATATATATATACACTGTAACTCAGAAACCAACTACGTCATGTACATCACCCTGAACCAAGGGCCTGGATGGGTGTGTGTAACATGTCGCTTGAAGTGCGCTGCCACAGTTGCCCACGTGCCCTTCTCCAGAGGCCTGCGATTGGAAGCCCCTCTTCAATCTGTGTGGCTGTGCGGGTTTTTGTTCCAAGAAACACACATAGCAACACTTACAGCAGTTGCAAACCATATTTCTGGGTTCAGTGTATGTGGGCCATGATGATAGGCACATTCCGCAGTGCAAAGGACCCTTGGAATTCCAAAGCCTAGAACCCTTGGAATTCCGGGCCTTTGGGTACATTCTCCTTTGGGCACCATACTCTTCTTCAAGCTACAACGCCAAGGGTGCGATCCTTTTGAGAAGGTCACATGTCCAACCTGCTCCCAACGTCCGCTGTGTCTCTGCTCCGAAGGGAGCGACATCGGACCCAGCTGCCCACGCAGACCGAGCCCCGAGCCCCACCGGTCCGCAAGCGGTTTCACCTGTGGAGGCGAATGGTTCACAGAGGCTGGACGCGTGTGGCGCGAACGGTTCAGGCGGTGGAGGCAACGAAACCAGGGAACCAGAGGGGAAGGACGGAGAGTTTTGAAGGATGGTGAAGGATGGAAAGGATGCAGTTCGGGGGGGGGGTTGAACTGAGAGCTATTCAGAAGTGAGTGATTATCGGGGGACGGCTGTTCAGAATCTTGCAAGCTTGGAGACAGATGGTTGGACGAACATGTTCATGCTGTCACAGACTAATCCCTTCCACCTATTAAAAAACCCGGGCCCCCCCCTCCCCCTATTAAGAAAACCTCGGGTGCATTGTGGAAATAGGGGGTCCCGTCCCTGAAATCGGGGTTGTCCAAAATAGGGCCACCTGGGAAGAGCTTCAATACCAAAAAGTCACCCAGGAAAACTATATAAATTACACTACCGTAGACCCCAAACAGTTTGTGTTTTTCAAAATCGAAACTAGAGCTTGCGACGTCCAGAGCTGGGAAACAAAGGATTGCAAGGCAGAGACGGACACAGCAGTACAGAGCGAGCGGACACATCTTAAGAAAGAATTGAGAAGCCCTAACAGTAAACCTTTTGGGGAATTATTCTTCAAGTGCGAACATGATGCTGGTCATGCTGCTCAATCAGCGGGGAGCTGACCACGTGAGGACAAGACATAAAAGCATGAGGAGCGAAGGATGTGACATGAAATTGAATTTTGGTGCCTGACGTATGTCCTCCGTCCCAACTGAACAGAGAGATCGCTGCCACGCCGCCGAAATCCAATCCGGTCATTCATCCAACGCTTGCCCGAAAAGGAAAACAAAGCTGAGAGAGTTACACAGTGTGGCAGGAATGCAATCCCGGAGACAGTCACGTACCCCTTTCAAAGGAGCAAGAACCTTTCACACGTGAACCTGTTCCAGTGGACAGGGCAGAAAACAGCAGTGCAGGCACCAAACCTGAAAGACAAAAAGAAAGAAATCACATGGGAGACAAATGAAAAGAAATGCTGCATGGCCAGCGGAAAAGGGCGGCAGCACCATTGACAGGCCCGGGAAACAAACGAATAGAAACGCTACATGGCCAGCGGAAAAGGGCGGACACCAGCAGTGACAGACCTGGAGACTAATGAATAGAAATGCTGCATGGCCGACGGAAAACGGCGGACACCAGCAGTGAACCTGGGAGACAAATGAATAGAAATGCTGCGTTGCAGGAAAAGGGCGGACACCAGCAGTGACAGACCTGGGAGACAAATGAATAGAAATGCTTCATGCCCAACGGACAAGGGCGGACACCACCAGTGACAGACCTGAAAGACAAATGAATAAAAGCCTAGGAAACAAATGAATAGAAATGCTTCATGGCCAACAGACAAGGACACCCCAGTGACAGACCTTGGACAGTGACAGGCCTGGGAGACACATGAATAGACATGTTGCATGGCCAACGGACCAAGGGCGGACCCCAGCAGTGACAGACCTGGGAGATGAATAGAAATGCTGCATGGCCAGCGGAAAAGGGTGGCAGTGACAGAATAGAAACAGTGGAAAAGGGTGGACACCACCAATGACAAGCCTGGGAGACAAATGAATAGAAATGCTACATGGCCAGCGTCCAAGGGCGGACACCACCAGTGACAGATCTGGGAGATGAATAGAATTGCTGGACACCAGCAGCGACAGACCTGGGAGACAAATGAATAGAAATGCTACATGGCCAACAGAAAGGGCGGACACCAGCAGTGCAGACACCAGCAGTGCAGGACTGGGAGACAAACGAATAGAAATGCTGCATGGCCAGCAGAAAAGGGCGGACACCAGCAGTGACAGACCTGAGACAAATGAATAGAAATGCTTCATGGCCAACGGACAAGGCGGACACCACCAGTCACAGACCTGAAAGACAAATGAACAGAAATGCTGCATTGCCTGCGCAAAAGGGTGGACACCAGCAGTGACAGACCTGGGAGATGAATAGAAATGCCGCATGGCCAGCGGAAAAGGGCGGCAGTGACAGACCTGGGAGACAGAAAAGGGCGGACACCAGCAGTGACAGAACTGGGGTGACAGAACTGGGAGACAAATGAATAGAGGCGTCGCATCGCCAGTGAAGAGGGCGGACACCAGCAGTGACACTGGGAGACAAATGAGTATAGATGTCGCATTGCCAGTGAAAAAGGGTGGACACCACCAGTGACAGACCTGGGAGATACATGAATAGAAATGCTGCATGGCCAGCGGAAAAGGGCGGGCACCAGCAGTGACAGACCTGGGAGATACATGAATAGAAATGCTACATGGCCAGTGGAAATGGGCGGACACCAGCAATAACACAAAGGGCGGACACATCTTACGAAAGAATTGAAAACCCCTAACAGTAAACTGCTTGGGGAAAAGTGGGAGACGAAGACAAGCCGGCCGGAAACCCGACTACAAGCACCCAGCCTGGGAGACAAATGAAAGGAATTGGGAGACAAATAAAAGGAAATGGGAAACAAATGCAAGGAAGTGGGAGACAAGCCAGCCGGGAACCCGACCACAAGCACCCAGCCTGGGACCCAATGAAAAGAAGTGGGGGACAAATGAAAGGAAGTGGGAGACAAGCCGGCCGGGAACCCCATGGCTTGTCTCCCACTTCCTTCCATTTGTCTCCCATTTCTTTTCACTTGTCTCCCAGTTCTTTTCATTTGTCTCCCAGGCTGAATGCTTGTAGTCGGGTTCCTGGGTGGCTTTCCCAGCCCGGGAGACAAACGAAAAGAAGTGGGAGACAAATGAAGGAAGTGGGAGACAAGCCAGCTGGGAACCCGACGACAAACACCCAGCCTGGGAGAAAAATGAGCCGGGAACCCGATTAGAAGCACCCAGTCTGGGAGACAAATGAAAAGAACGGGGAGACAAATGAAAGGAAGTGGGAGACAAGCCGGCCGGGAACCCGACCAGACCATCCAGCACCAAGGCGACCATTCTTTAAAGCATTGAGAACCCCTAACAGCAAACTGTTTGGGGAAAAATCCTTTGTTAAACTCTTTTTTGGTAGTTTAGTAGCGGTTTTAAAGGGCGGTAGTTTAAAAACAATCATAAACCGTATTTAGGGTTCCGAACATGGTGTTTTTAAGTGGGGAGTGGTTTTTAATGGGTACTCGGGCTAACACTGTGAACTCAGCAATCAACTCTGAAATTTCAGCCATTGGAAAAAGTCATCTCAGAAAGCAATTCTGGCATCAAGGCCCCTGAAAAAACAATTCAACACAAACTTTTGACAACAACTCCAGATCAGTTTATATTCAAAATTAAAGCAACACACGGGTTCCAAACATTACCACCTGACGAAAGTATTAATTCTAGATGTCATTCGGTGAACCCTATGTTTCATGTTATATTTCTTATATATAGTAAACAGCTAACACTATTATCATATATATAATATATATCATAATGCAGTTTACTATAATATAAATAATATCCGTATTCATTAAACCTAGCAGCTCCAATGCCTTCTGTGCCTAGCATCCACGCTCGGCCCCACCCCTCCACCCCGACCGCGAGACGGCCCGTCCAATCAGCTGCTTCGCGCGCCATGGTGCTCCGTGACCTGCCCAGTTTCAAGGACCAAAAAGAAAAGATGCTAGTAACAAGGACGCTACTAGTAGCAAAGGGCATCGCTACTAGGAGCAAGGACGCTACTCGTAGCAAAGCGCATCGCTACTAGGAGCAAGGACGCTACTAGTAGCAAAGGGAATCGCTACTAGTAACAAGGACGCTACCAGTAGCAAAGGGCATCGCTACTAGGAGCAAGGACGCTACTAGTAGCA